GTGAGAGCCTGTTCCTGGCTCCCCTGTGAGACCTGAGATTTAATGGTTTGTTTCAAGCTGAGACTGGATGTGGCACTTAGTGCCATGACCTGGTAACCATGGTAGGGTTGGACTGATGATCTTGGAGATCTTTTCCAACCTGTTTCATTCTATGATTCTATGATACCTGTTCATTTATAAGGCAGATGAGTGAAAACATATCCAAATTCAAAGTCTCTCAGATCCATTTTTTTCCAATGTTTAAATTAACTTTACAGTGTGAAACTGACCGTTTTCATCTTTCTTCCTTACCAGGTAAGTCTTTAAGAAGCACTGTGGTCCCTTCTGGATTTTTGGCAGTGTTGCAGTCGTTTCTTCCAGCACGGTGTGTGGATGTGTGTGTAAATGGATGTGTGTATGTGTGCATGCTTTTGGAGAGAGAGCTGGGTGTTGATGGCTGAAATAATAGATGTGAGGGTTTTAACCTTGTCACTGTTACAAGATCTTTATGTGTCTGCTTTAGGGTCGACCCCATCCCGTATGACACTCCAAAACCAGCGGGCCACACGCGCTTTGTCTGCGTCTCAGACACACACTCCAGAACAGATGGCATCCAGATGCCTTATGGGGACATCCTTCTCCACACGGGCGATTTCACCGAGCTGGGACTGCCCTCAGAGGTTAAGAAGTTTAATGACTGGTTAGGTAAGGAATTAGTGCGTTTTGGTGACCCCAATTAACCTCTCCTGTCCAAGTGTCACTCACTGCCTCCTAATTGAATTAGAGCGCTTGAAAATCTCTCCCCACCCTTACTTCACTTGTTCTCATGTGATGTGCTGTTGCTAGCCTCAGTGTAATTTTGTTAATTAAGACAAATTTAGAGATTTTGCTGCATTTCTGCATTATCTTGGGGGAAAAGAATCTGTTGTTCCACAGCAAGAACTGTGTTAGCCCTATGTGAGCTCTGAGGAGGTGGTGGCACCTCATGCTAATGAACACAGTGTCTCATTAGTTGATGCTGGGGCCTTTATATCCACAGCCAAAACTATTGCTCAGTGCATTTTGGGTTTACCATAACTTAAAGCAGTGCTGGAAGCTACAACGTATTTGGAAATTTTGAAATTGCTTCTTCCCACAGTATAGGGTGGCAGAATCAATAATACTGTTTGGAAGAGGAGAATTTTTTGGGGTGGTATTCACGTGCTTGTCCCTTTGAGTTAGAGTACTGTGACTGCAGGCTGATGATGCTGATCTTCGAGAAGCATTAGAATGTATTTACAGGATTATATAAAAATCTTGGAAAGCACAGCTTGGTCATCAGGCTTCACCTCTGTCACTGCACTCTCTCTTGCCTTCTGTGGATGATGGCAGCATCTCTACATGCCTTTAATAGCATCATTTTATTCCATTGGAGTTCCTTGGCTGACCCTTCAAGAGATAGGTAGATAACATTTGGAGTTACAAAAGGAATTTTTAGATAGAAGGACTTCTACATTGTCTGTCTTTTCATCCTCGTTTGCATTTTCTCCATACTGTTCTTTTTACCTGACCTCCCCTGATTTTCACAGCTCAATTTTCAAGTGTTTTTCCTTCTTTTTATTGCTGTGCATGTGCATCTGGGGCTTCCAAATACTGCTATATCACTGTAATTTAGTTTTCTTGTTCTTCTTTCCAGAAAGCAGTGCTAGATTTGATGGGCTCAAGCCCATCCTTTTCCTAGGAACATAGTTGCAGGAATGGGAAGTTAGAAGCAGCAGAAGCAGGTGGATATGTCATAGGATGAGGGAAGAGGCACAGTAGGAATCATTACCTAAACTCTTGTGTGTCCTTTGTGGTAACTTGTCAATGTGAGTGTTGCAAAGGAGAGGAGCCAGCAGGTTAGCAGTAAGCAAAGTAAAGGTGATGGGAGGCTGCACAGCTTCCCTGGGAGTGGATGATGGATTCTGCTGAGCTTCAGTCCTCTAGAGAAGCTGGGCAGGACTCAGTTGTTCTGGATGCCAGGCAGCTCCAGAATGGGAATTGATTTCTGGAGAGGACAGACCTCCAAAGTGCAGGGCTAAGTGCAATGTCTGGTCCCCAAAGTTCCTCTTTGGACTTTGAGTAATTTCACAAGTGTTTTAATATGTCCAGAGCCCATGCCCAGTGCTTGGCATTTGAGAACACTGACCTAGGGATGTAGAAAGCCAAACCAAATAATCTGCTGGTGTTCTTTCACCCTTTCATGGGAAATCATATGGTATTGGCATTCTCACATAGGTCCTTGGCTTAATATTCACAACAGAAGAATTATAAATCTTTGAATAGGTCATGCTGCAGCCTCAATAATTTACCCAAGGGCTTTCTTAGCATATGTATAGTTCTTGTAGAAGTCAGTGTAGTATTTCCATGAGAAGGCAGATTTTGCATTCTCAGGCAGTCAGTTCCATTGATGGATGCTTTGACTGTGTGAGGACCTACTGGCTTTGGCCTCAGGCTTTCATATTTCAGCTACAGAGGAAATGCTCAGAGTCCACTTGCATTTTCATATATATGACAATACCAGTTATTAGGTTCCTGGCATAGGGTGAGGCAGCAAATGGATTCCCCTGGGGAATCTTTTCTTGCTCCAGTGCTGTCCTCCTCACCTGGAACCAAAACACTAAAGTCAGGCATGCCCTTTTGCCACTTTATTTCAGGCTCCTATCTGCAAAATGTGTGATTGTTTTTTACTATTTACTATTTTACTATACACCATGTGTATGGTGAAGATTTAGTTGTGAGGTTGTGAGGGGATGACCTGCAGTAGTTTAAAAAATACATCCCAGTGCCAGACAGGAACAAGCAGGATTCCCTTTCCTTCTTGCTGTGTGGTGGGAGGTATCTTTTTCCATTGTAGTTGGTAGAAACCTTATTCTGAAGCAACACACTGAGAACTGCTGTTCAATATAATGTTGTCCTTATGGAAAAAGGTGTTTGTATCTTTTGTGGGCATGGTTTTCTCCACACTGTGTTGTAAAAGTGTGATGAAGACAAGGAATCTGTATCATTTATGCCATGAGAGAGAGGAGTGAGATCAAAGCTGAGCTTCACTCTACAGCTTATCTTCCCTACTCTGTGGTAAAAAACAGAGTCTCATCTCCACTAGGATTATACAATGGGATAATTAAGACACAACAACTGTCCATAATTTTCTTGGCAGGAAAGCCAAGGGAAAAAGTTAAAAGATGATTATTCTGAACTCTGCCTCACCTGTACTTCACTGGGCATTACATATACCAGAGTTAGACAGGGCTGAGAACACTTCTGTCAGCTCTGCACTTCTATATTTTGTGACTCTTGCATCCCTTTGCAACACTTTGGGTCTCTCACCTGGGAAGAATGTTCAGCACCTTGTCCTTTTCATTAGCACACATACTTCTTCTTCGCCTCCACAGGCCAACCATGGAATGTGTTTTCCACACTCTTTTTTCCAGTCTTCCTTGTTCTCAGCCCTTCCTGCAACTTATACTAGTTCTTATGCTTTTTTTTCCCTTTGGCTGTTACATTTTCATTATTGGTTTTGCGTGGAACTCATCTGGGCTTATACATTGAATAACCTCTGTGGTCACTTAGTGATTACATACACTGGCTGAGGTAATTTATTCACTTTGTTTTGGTGTGAACATGTCCCTTGGGTCTTGTAACTGCTGTAATCACTTGACCTCAGTGACTGTTAAATGCCTTAAACACAGTTATTTTAAATTTATAATTGTTTTCATTAAAAATCTCTTATAGCAACTTAACTGATTTTGCAGTAAACACTGCATTAAGAGCTGAGGAAGAATTAAGATGTTATTCTGTGCCCAATATATGTCTTACTGAAGTTTCAACTTGCTATTATTATCTCTGTTCATATTTTCCCCATCCACTCTCATTCAGTCATAGGTGTGAAATGAAACACAGGAACATCTAATTATAGCTCTGTTTTTGTAGTACAATATTTCCTTTCCTGTGTGATGGGAAGTGATGGAATAACACGTAAGAACTGAAGAGAAAGCAAAGATGAATTCAGGCAGATCTTTCATGAATGTTGCTATGTGTATTGAGCTCAGTATGGGCCTAATTGTACCTGTCCTTACTTGTGTGAATAATTTACGTCTGGTTTAGTAATTTTTTCTCAAATAGCCACTTTTGTACTTTTTTTTGTTTAGGGGTTATCTCTTCCTGTGTTCATTTGGTCCTGAAGTTTTTTTGCTGTGCAAGATTTGGAATACCAAGCACATCACTGCACCAAGTAGGCAAAATCCTGCAGTGCTAGACACAAATAAATTCAGTAGGTGAAATTACTGCTGGTCAATGTCTGTGGAGCTGGAGTTGAATTTTGCTAGGTTTTTCTGGGATTTAGCACTTGATCACTTCATAGTTTTTTTTCTTTCAAGTCTTACTTTTATTTTGCATGTCTATTTCTTTTAGTTTCTGGGGGATAATCACTCCAGAAACTTTGTGAGTGGTTTAGTGGTCATATACATATGAGTTTGTAGTGGAACAAATACTTCTTTACCTGCACTATATGTTTGCCTTTAGTGTAAACATTATTGATAGAGCTACAATAAAACCTTTTTTTCTGTGCTGTAGTTTCTTGATCAGGTCTCTTGAAATGAAAGTAAAAGAATGATTATACAATTTTAATGTTTTCTTGTAATTCCACATATATGAATGTGGTCACCAGAAAAGTATTGTCAGTTACTTGTGATCATTTTTGTGTGAATGTTTAGTTATTGAATACAGCAGTGTCAGCTTGGAATTGCTGGTTGCTTTGTGGAGTAGATGACAAAAGTGACTAGTTGATCTGTAAGGTCCATTCCAACCCCTAAAATTCTCTGATTCCATGAAAATGGAAATGTGCTGTTGCTTGTGGATGTGTGGACAGACACCTGGTTCCAGGCCACACTTCAAACTCTGCATTAGTGCTGTAAAAATTTGAAATTATATTCAAAACTGTTAAGCCAGATACCTGCCAGAATAGAATTTGATCCTGAAGAAAGTGTAATTTAGTGGTGCAATAGTACCAAAACAGTAAGATCAAGCTCTTTTCTTATCACTGTTTAAAAAATGCAGGGTCACATCCCACTTTTATCCTGTCTCAATCTCTCTGCTCTGGCTTAGTTATTCCCCCTTTTTATCTGCCTTCATCTCCTCCCCAGGCATGTTTCATTTAGGGTTTGGTGTAAGTGTGTTCCTTTTGCTAATGTACACTGAGAACAGTTTCAGTGTGATGAAGTATTTGTTCTCGAGGGCTTTTCCTCTGTAAAAGTCTATTTCTGATGTGAATTGTTTTGGCATCTGACATGACACTTTTTTTTTGATAATAAAAACAAACCAGTAAGCCCTAAATTTCTCCCAAGTTCAGAGGGATATTAGCTCAAAGTATTCTGGATTAATTTAGAACCAGAAGGAAGCTTATGAATATTTTAAGGTAAAATTATGGCAATAAAAACAAATCTCATCCTATTTTTATAAATTGATTTATTTCTGATTTCTGGTTTTGCCATCTGGAGTATATTTTGAACTCTATATTGCTCTGCATGTTATAGCTAGAATGAATAATTGACTAAACATAAAATACCATTTTGATGAACAAAACTCTTAGCACTTGAAAAAAAAAATGCATTCATTGCAAGTGAAAGAAAATGCTGAGGTAGCTTTAATCCCCTAAGTATGTATGAATTTTGCACAGCTGTTCTGGG